AGAAGCGTTACAAACGCAGCCGAAGTCCTTGAATCTTGTTTCGACGGCATTTCGTAACCAAGGTACACGTTACCATTTTGCAACATTGTGAAAGTTATTTTAGAACTTTTTACTCCGAAATATTGCGATTCCTCTACTTGGAAATTTTTTCCTCTCTCGAGAAAGTTTGAATCATTTCGGACTAAATGCTGTACAGAGTAAAAAAAAAAAACCTTTATCTTATCGCGAACAGAAATAAAAATATTTGTATTGATTTCATTGATTATCATGAAGAAGAGTATTGCTCAAAATTGTAACTTTAATATTTCGCATATTAATAAAGATACTAATATTTTGTACATAAATATGAAAATAAATAACAAGTACCATATGTAAACAAGTAAAAACCAGTATGATACATAAAAATTTATCTCTGGAGATACATAGTCTACTTATTATAAGTACGTTTCTATTGTATAAGGCTGATAAATATTGTTCTTGAGGAGAAGTATTCATTACTCCTTGTCTTATATTATTTTCTGAATATTAAATATCCTAATTTAATAATGGTTGAATGTGTAGCTGCTGATTATCGATGAAATTTTTTTTTTCAATTGAAAGTTACTGCTGTTAAAAAAAAAAAACTGAAGTAACAAGTTTAGAATCATCGAAAATATTGCTTCTTTTTTACACGGGCTGATCCTTTTAATTAATAAAAACATTATTGCGCGGCGCAATAAAGATACGCGGTACAATAATTTAAATTAGAAGATCAAACAAGATATTTTGACTGAAAACCTCGATAAAAATTCATTTACTTTTTACACTTCCATTCGCTAAATATCTTTCTTATTCCAACAAATAGGTAACCAATTCACGCGTAAATTTCCCTTCGACAAGACCCACGCAATACGATATCCTACGTATTCTACGATTACAGACAACAATTTCCGCGTTCGATGAGCAGCAGGTTTAATGGGAATTGCAGGTGTCATCGGTATGCCGACGGACATCGTGGCGTCGTCGGCCTCGGCCTCGGTTACGGTCTCGGAGGAGACGAGCAGAGGTCGAGACTTGGTCCTTGGGCCGTCATCAAGGTCGGCCGCCTCTTCGGCGGGCGCATCATCGTCAGGATCATCAGCGCAATCGAGCTCGAGGGGCTTCGACCCGTCTAGCGCTCTGGCCGCTTATCACCATCATCGGCACGGCTTGGTAGCCGGCTTGGGTCACCCTCATCACCGCGAATCATCCGCGTTCGTGCCCGTGGTACCTTCGAGGTTACACCTGGCACCTTATCCAGGCGACATGCACCCTCACTTAACCGGGCCACCGCCGTCCTCGTCGACTGCGTCGAATCCAGACCACGAAGTTGGCGCAGAGTCATCCGTCGCAAGGAAATCCTCGTCCAGCTACGAGATCATGGCTATGATGGCGGATAAGAGGAAGGAACTAGCCGCGAGGGCTCTTCTGCTTCCTCCGCCGCCTCTTCTCGAACCGCCACCCGGTTACCCGGTGTTCGCGGGGCCCTTCCCAGGTGGATCGGCGGCGCTCTATCCACCCGGTGGGCCGTTGGCGCATCAACATTTGGACAGGAGACTTTTAAGAGCACCGGGAAGAGCGTCCAGGCCCAAGAAACAGTTTATCTGTAAATTCTGTAATCGACAGTTTACGAAGTCTTACAATTTGTTGATTCACGAACGAACACACACGGACGAGCGGCCGTACTCGTGCGACATATGCGGCAAGGCTTTCAGAAGGCAGGATCATCTTCGAGATCACAGGTAATTTTATTTCTTTTCTCATTATGTATCCCTTTGTGTGTCTCGAACTTGATTCGACGATCTCCGTACGTTACGTGCAGTGCCTCGTAACAAACTTAGTACCTGCAACGCACTGTTATTTCTTTGTCAGACTCAACTAAACCGCCCTGTATGTTCATTACAGGTATATTCACAGTAAGGAGAAGCCGTTCAAGTGCGGCGAGTGCGGTAAAGGTTTCTGCCAAAGCCGTACTTTAGCCGTGCACAAAATCCTCCACATGGAGGAATCCCCTCACAAGTGCCCGGTCTGCGCGCGAAGCTTCAACCAGCGCAGCAACTTGAAAACCCACCTCCTCACGCACACGGATCACAAGCCTTACGAGTGCACCTCGTGTGGCAAGGTGTTTCGTCGGAACTGTGATCTAAGGAGGCACGCATTGACACATGCGGTGGGTGACGTGCCGCCAGAAGCGTTGGAGGAAGCACTCAGGGACGACGACAGCCCCGAAGAGGACTGTACGGAAGCCAGCTCGTCGACATCTGCAGCAACTAATTCCTCCTCTTTGCCAGTATCGACGGCCAACGCGTCTTATACTTCTCAAAGCTCCTCCGGACCGCCGCAACCGCCTCCGGCGCCAACCTCCGCGTCTGCTCTTCCCCAGAGACCTCAGCTCCAAATCCGAAGAGATCTACTCCCGGCCGTGAAACCGTCCACAGTGACCAGCAGCGGAAACGGTGGCCATTCTGTCACTCAGAATCCTCCGGGCGCGCTCCCGCCTCCGCCGCCATTGATTCTCACCTCGTACAGACGAAGAATCGGATCGCCAGGGCCGTCGAGGGTGCTCCTCGAGTTGCAGGAACGCGAGAGGGAACGAGAACGAGAGCTGGAACAGAATAGAGAGAGAGAACGCGACAGAGAACGCGAGGAGGAGGTGACACGACCCCCTAGGGCACCCACCCCTCAACCGCCACCGCCACCTAGACCCGCTCCTGCCAGGCACGGATTCACTATAGCAGATATAATGCGTCGGTAGAAGGGGGAATGAATATCCAAACGGCAGAATACCAAATGATCGTCTGCTGTGAAATTTGATTCCAAATGCGGATACCGTTGCAAACGAATGGAATCGTCATGGACATCATTTGGATATAGTAGTGATCGAATAATAATAAAACTTCGTTTATACAAATTACATTCATTTGAACCAAATTTTAATCGATAACTGATTCAATGAATGTTTGCCGATTGAACCCACTTATCCGAATGTGAGCTCCTTGTACGAAGGAAAAAAATCACTGGATTTATTTTTCTAATTGTATAAATAAACACGATAAATTTATATAAACGGAGTTCTATTGTGTTTTATAAAGAATATTTTTGTAGTTGGACGATAAGGAAGACAGTAGAAGAGGATGTTTATGTGTTAGAGCTTATAGATGGATACTCCAAGTGGCAAAAGCTTGTATGTTGTTAGTTTTTCTTCTTTTGAAGCAACTTCTGAAGGAAGAAAACGTTTTTGCGATTTTATTGTGCAATTTTATTGCGAGAATATTCTATAGATATTTGGTGCGATACATCTTATACGTTGAATTTTGGCCAATAAATAATAATTGATACTGAAACAGGATTCAAAGGCGTTTCTTTAAAAAATAGAAAAAAAAACAAGTAAATAATAGCGAAAGTATTGAAGGAATTTGTTTTTTTTTTTTTTTTAAGCGAGCTTAGCCAACTTGGATTCCTGGCCTTTGTGTGGTATAAAAAGACGAAACATGCCAAATGGAAGATG